GCAATAACGTAAAGCTGTCCATAATTCTACTCGTTTTTTTTAACGTCAGTATTCTGTGTGTAGCCATTCGATACAATTTTGTTCTTAATGAAAAACTGTGTCGCCCTAGGGAGCGGTCCTCTTTGTAATTCACCGCACCCTCCCTCGTCAACTAGTGCGAAAAGAGAGGAAAAGAGCTTTTTGCGTGGGGACATAAATGCGGTTTTTACACACTGCCCTTCAATTGTTACACACATAAAAAACTTATATATATATATATATATATATATATATATATATATATATATATATATATATATATATTTACAAATTCATGAATCATTCACACAAAAAACAAATGCAAAGGTTAATGATTTAATTGGCGAGAAATTCATCGTCGCAAACAATTCAAATAATATACAAAAACCTCCGAATCCGTTATGAATGAAATGATCCTTGTGTATATAAATTTCTGCCGTATTAGTTCTTATTTTTACTACCAGCTATCGTCTGTTCCTACAGACATCTTCAGGTATGGAATAGATGTTGTTCTTGTTTTTTCTCTTAGTAATAAGAGGACAACGAAAATATATGTATTGTTGTATCCGAAAATGCTATTGGAAATGAGTTATTGTTTTTGGGCGCGCAGTAGCAACGCTGAGTTTGATTTTAAATTTTTTTACAGTTGTGCGTTCATGTACAATTATGGTGATGAACGAATTTTTACTGGTAAATTTTCTGTCAAAGTGGCATGAACTATATTGTTCAATAATTACAGTAATGTTGCACTTATTATCCAAAAGATTATATAATAGAACCGCATCATGAATTTCACATATGTAGCTTACGGTCAGTCTATCAAAAATACGTCCTCTTCAATTTTCATAATACTTTTTGCCTAACATTTACAATGCCTGCTCAAGTTCACCAAAAATTTTTGTGAGGGTTTTAAGTCTACTTTAGAAGATATGACCCTGCCAAATTTAGAGTTTTTTCCTATCTATGTGCAGGATTTCCAAGAAAGATTATAATTAAAGACAATCATCCTAATGCTCCATGACCTTTAAAATGTTGATATTGTGCTAAGTTCTTAAACTATTCAATAAGATTGTTTTTATTAATTTAAAAAAATAATTTAAATATATTTTGCAGATATTACTTTTTGTACAGCTACATAGGTGAAAAGTTGTTGATTTTGGGGTCATGTATTTGGGTGAGTAAAATAAAATTTTCTATCAAGTGTATGCTTGAAATAGTTAAATATTTGGATTCTACACTTCTTATTTACCCTACATACCACATTTTAGAAATATTGAAGATATGGAAGTATATTTCTTTGATTTAAAAATAAAAACACTGAAATTCGGCGACGTTGGGTGGCCTTAATTTAGAGGCAAAATAGGAAAATTATACACCCTCCCCCATTTAAAATTAGTACGGTAAAGTCTATCACAAAACAATTTGGTACAGTTTCCTAACTCCGCTTTTTCGTCTCCTTATTCCCAACCTTTGTATTTGGACGCCACATCAATATCGTTTGTTTTCTTACGAACACGGAATGATCGTTTATTGATGTCAAACTTTCAGAGTGTCTTATTCTTTATAATTTTATAAGACCGGCATCTTTTAATCCTTTCACCGCAAGCGAGGCAATAAAGCCACTAAGACGCAAGGGGTTCTGAGTGTGAGAGAATATGATAAAAAGAAAACATTATTAAAGAGAGAAGACAATAAAAGAATAGGAATTAGGAAGACGGAAGATAACGATTGACTTTGCACTTAAATTTTTGAGGATCCAAGTTGTCTGGAGAGCAAGAAGGCGGAAGAGAGTTCCATAAGAGCAAGAGAAGAAACTATTGGCATCTTGCCATCTCATCTGTAAAATGATGAGACTTTGCGGCCAATCTTGTAAAGTACAGGTACGAAAGAGGAGAGCTCACCAGGACAATAACTATGATTATATTTAGAGAAGAGGCAGAGGGAAGCTACATTATGGTGGTGGGAAAGTGATTGAAGATGCCAGGTCAGGACCAATAACATTGCAGATACGCCTTTGTATTTGATCAAAAATCTAGAAGCAACTCTAGATGTTATCATAGTTATAAGTGTTGTTCGAAGAATAATGGTTTATCGGAACTGTCATGGTTGGTTTACCGATGTTGGCACCTAATGTACGCCAATGTGAGCACCACAAAGAGGCAATTTATCTACAAGTCCAAAATCTATCTGATTACTGGTTTGAAAATATCCCCTTAGTAGTCACGAATGCCGGTAAAGGGCTAATCATGAGAAACACGGCTATCAACAAAGATAGGGCTATTGCAGGCGGCCGACCAGACTTCGTAATTCGCGATAAGAAGATTTGCCTTCTGATTGGTGCCTGCTATTCCAAACAAAACAAATGTGCTAACACGAAGTAGAAAAGATTATGAAGTATCGTAAACTAGATATCGTGATCCGATAATAGTGGCACGCTGGGCGAAGCAAGATTCTAGCTGCCATTGAAGAAGGGTTTTTTTTTGGAAAGGCATGTCATTGGATAGGTTAATTGATGTTGCCATTCCAAATAATACAGACGTGCGAACATTGGAATTGATGCATCAAAGGTTGCAAACAGTTTGGCGAGCAATGGTCAGCGGAAAGGGACCTATTCTGCTGCAGGTTAATGCAAGATCCCATGTTCACAAATCACTCGACAAAAAACTGCTCCTCTCACGTACTAAAGATCTGCCTCACTCTCATTCACCGGAACTGTCCCTAACGGATTATCCCTTTTTCCATATCTTAGATCAGGTATGGAAAACCTTTTCCGATAAGCCACACAAATTAAAAAGAAAATTTTAAGTAATTTATCGTTGAATGCAAAGCGACCATTTTCCCTACAGAAGATCAAATGCGAAATGATCTGCCTTAGAAATAGGGTTAAGTTGATATTTTTTATTTGGAGAAAAGTTTTTCTATAATTTAAAAATTGAAGATTTTGAATAATATTATCACTGATGATGCCGTGATTAACACATGTTGCTGCGTGTGATTTGTTTCTAATTTAATTGAAAATACAAAACATATACTTTTAAAAGAAAACTATTTTGACACGTATGATCTTCCTTAACGAAAATCGCCAATTGTTTACAATGCTGAGAACGTTACTTGCAACGAAAAGTTACAAAATTCAAGAAACATTACACTTAATCATTGCCATGTATGTAGTTTAGTCGAACTTTGCCCATAACACAACATAAGTATTTTACTAGTTTTTTAGCAAAATGTTATATAAACATGGATGAGCGTCTCCTTAGCGTGGGAAAACGGATAAATACACCAAGTTAACTGTTTTCCCGTCTAGGCGGACGGAAAACGTGTTTCCTGGTGATCCGTCCACTAAGTAGAATATTCCCATTGCTTTCAAAGTAGATACTGACCCGAACCCTAACGCCTTTAAAGAATGTGGCACGAGGTCTAGATTTAATGTGGGAAGCCGTTCAAAAATTGCTCAAGCCTTCTCGGCACTCCTCTCTTTTGGTTACGCCACAGGTGCCGGGTAATGACCCCAGTTCTCTCCCGAATGAGAAGTTATAACCCCATAGGCCTTGTTGCTTTCGAAGTAGGTATTTATCCCACGCTCACGACGCAACAGAATGCGATATAAGCACCAAGTTTAATGTGGGATTTCCGTAAACCTATTCAAAATTACTCAAGCTCCCTCAGCACTTGCCCTTTTAGAGACGTCTCAGGCCCCAGGTTAAATAGCCCTTGCCCGAGTAAATAATATAACCTCATCACCGAAGGAGAGTATGTGCATACGTGAGTAGCTGCACACGGGAGACAACCGAGATATATATGTCCCCCCCACTCCACACACACACACACATACACACGGAAGGGAAAATAGGGTCAGGGACTTTTATAGTGATAATGAGAATCCACGTTCGGAGAAAACCCCCAAAGCCACATACCCATTCCAATAATAATTGACGATGTCCAGAGTTGAAGAAACAATAATTTTATTATAAATTTAGTATTTTGTTCTGTATAAAGAAAAACGATACATATGAAAATCGATTTCTATCTATCTATCTATCTATCTATCTATCTATCTATCTATCTATCTATCTATCTATCTATCTATCTATCTATCTATCTCACTCACTCTAATCATATCTAAATCTGTTCATATCGAAGTCTTTTTCTTTCTATCTATCTATCTATCTATCTATCTATCTATCTATCTATCTATCTATCTTAGCCTATTAATATCTATCTATCTATCTATCTATCTATCTATCTATCTATCTATCTATCTCAGTCTGCTCATTTCTATCTATCTTGGTCTTCACGAAGTCAATGATTGTGTGTGCTTAATGCTAATTGTAATTTTAGGCGTGGGAAAAATTTGGTCTTTATTGACCGAGCAGCCAGCACTGCTTTCGGTTGAAATTTATAAAATCTTTCCCTGAATACAATTTTTCAGTAAAATATATATATTTTTTTTTTTTTGCATTTCTCTGGAGTGTTAAATATGAAATATGTTTCTCAAGTCCAGTAGCTATTATCGCTCTTTCCAGTATTGATGGAGGTTTCCTTCTTAACCTTTTATTTGAAGTAGTGTAAAAAGTGAAGGTATTAATCAATCGTGAGAGAAACAGCTCTTTCTGACTTTGGTTAAACCGAATCTATTAATTGCGTTCGGTTTGTTTGTCTTTAAAACAGAATTCGATGTCATGAACTTAAACTCAGCGCGAACACCAACTAATACAGCTGGGTAGAAAAACACAACTACCCTAGTTACGAAAGATTTGTCTATATACTAAACGGCATAGACCACAAAATTGGAATAACGAAAAAAATATTGGAAGAAAATTACGGAAAATTTGCCGACATGTTGTCAGCGGGACTTTCATTAAAGTCTTCATGTATGCGCATTTATTGTAGACGATGTCAGATTTATTTATTTATTTATTTATTTTTTGTATTTCTCTGGAGTGTTAAATATGAAAAAGAATTTATTTTCAGGCCTTTTCTTAAACATAAACAGATGAACTCAAATCTACCGAGATTACTATTTCGATGAGTAATCTGCTAAAATCACGTGGTTGTTGTCTCATGAATCAACACCCTGACTCAGAAGTACCATAGATAGAGAGGTGCGTATCCCGACCGCATCTGATGAAGGATCATTTCACCGACTGTTAATTAAAATTTTATCGAAATACTTGCACACACACACACACACGCACACACACACACACACACACACACACACACACACACATATATATATATATATATATATATATATATATATATATATATATATATATATATACTGTGTGCGTGATGTAACACCTGAATTGTGTTGGTTCCATCTCGAATGAATATATTTTTATTATTCATTAGAATAAATGAATCATTTAATTTCAGATTTCAAATGCTAATATATATATATATATATATATATATATATATATATAATATATATATATATATATAATATTCAAAGTTTTTTAAAAATTATAATGTTTTATTTTTATTTATTTATTTATATATATATATTTGATATTTAAAATTGTCCTCAATTTTTCATCAGAAATAACTATTTTGTTACAAATAAATTAAAATTCTAAATAATTATAATTTATTTGTAACAAACAGTTATTCAAATATATAATAAATAAATCAAAATACTATAAATAAATAAAACATTATAATTTTAATATAAAATTTTTTTTCTATATATATACATATTAAGAAAGTATACGTGGCTTCTCATTTATACTATATATATATATATATATATATATATATATATATATATATATATGAATTTCTTTTCATTTTTCATTTCAGCTTTTGGAAGTAAAAGTCTGATGATCCAGAACCCTGTTAAAGGGGTTATGGTGAAATAGCTTATTACATGGAATCTTAACGTGGTCTGTTTTTTATTCAAACATATCTGCTCTGAATTTACATTGAGCTCTCTGGATATCATCCTCCTCGGGTCTACCCATACGGATTACCTAAGTTTGCATAAACTATATATATATATATATATATATATATATAGCTTTGGGCACCTCGAGGCAGTGTAATATTTAGCAAGCTTGTCTCGTTAAAACAATATCCTCACTGGGTGCCTCTTACTTTCGGCCTTGTGCCATATCTTAGCTACCCTTGGAAAATCGCTAAATATATTGCTTTTATGAATCAATTGTTTGATTAACTCTTATCTGCAGTTAAAGCTTACGAACATATCACATTGGATCAATTGTTCTCATACGATCATCGAAGTTAAGCAACGTCGAGGATGGTCAGTACCTAGATGAGCGACTGCTTGGGAATATCAGGTGCTGTAAGTTGGGATGGACAACGGCTCTGAACTGGAAGCCGGAGAGGAGAGTTCCAATTTAACTCGTGTTCGTTATATCCACTTAAGCGCAAATACTGTTGGGAAAGGTATGAATTCATCTCTTCTTCCCCCAGCTATGGGTTAACTAGTAAATCTTGTATTAGTGAATTCTTACTATCTCCAAAAAAAATCTAACAATGTAAAAATATTTTCTGGCTTTAAATAAACTACAAAAGGTTTACAGGTCGTAAAAAACAAAACAAAACAAAAAAAAACGAATAAAAAACATTGAGAGAAAGATATTACAACCAGAAAATGTCAAAGGTGACATGATCACGACTCAAACTGTCTTTTTATCTCTTTCATTTTGTTTCCCATCGTTTAGTATTCACTGTTAATTTAAACTCTAAAAACCTAGCTTACCGCCATATCATGCCATACGAAGTTAAGCAATGTCGAGCGTGGTCAGTACCTAGATGGGTAACCGCTTGGGAATACCAGGTGCTGTAATCCTGGATGTTCGTGTGATGTAATGGATCATTACTTGGAATTTGTAATCGGAAAAACGAAGCCCAATTCCTATTATTTACTTAAGCGCACAAACCTTTGGGAAAGTTATTAATCTAGACATTCACTGTAAAATGATGAGACCTTCCCGCCAATCTAGTACTGCGCTTAAATTTTTAAATTCTAAATACCATAGAGGAAAAATCATCAGAACAATTACCATGAAATTATTTATAGAAAATATACGGGGAAGCTACGTTACGACGTTGGGAAAGAAACTGAAGCCGAGATATCAGGTCAGGACCAATAGCATTGCAGATTCTTCTTTGGATTTTTTATCAAGAACCTCTGAATATATAATAGGAGCATCAGACCAGATGTGGCTGCAATATTCAGAGCAAGGACGTATGGTAGAGTTATAAATATGTAAGATAGATCCTGGTGAGATAACATGTCTCGCACGATGAAGTGAACCAACTTTCGTCGGTGCAGATCGAGCAATTGATAATCTTTCCACTTCATTTCAGCAGAAAACGTTAGACTGAGAAAGGCGCAACGAGTCTCCAATATAAAGGTTAGCATCAGCCATTCTGATGGAAAGTATTCACATGTTAAATGCAATAAATTGTTTTTTTAAATTCTTCCGTACAATATAAAAATAAAACCGTGCATTTTTAGAACGCCAGATAAATTCCCTCAATAGACTGCCCTTACCATTTATGATAGAATGGTTTCCAGACATATAGCCGTCGGAGGGGGAGGATAGATGGATTCATAGCTTTCATAACGTTATTTGTGCGTAAGTGAATGTAACAAACACGACTGTAATTCGAACACGGTTCTCCGTGGTCTCATTCCGAGTTGCTATCCATTACACCCCCGCTCCGAACATCCAAGCTTACATCACCTGCTATTCCCAACCAGTTACCCTCTAGGTATTTACCAGCCTCGTTGTTGCTTAACTGCAGTGATCGATCGAGAATCAGTGTTTTAACAAATGTATGTCGATACGCGCTACAAAAAATATAAGGAAAAATGAATGCATTTTAGCAAACTATCTTGGTACTGACCAGGATCGATGTTGCTTAACTTTAATGATCGGGCATGAACCGGTGTTTCAACTGGTGTATGTTGATACGCGTTGCAAAAAATATAAGGAAAAAATTAATTAAATTTTCTGTCAGTCTTCTTAATAATTTAGCGGTCAACCATCTATTACTGACCAGGCTCGACGTTGCTTAACTTCGGTAATAATTTGAGAATCAGTGAATGTTGATACTCGTTATATAAAATATAAGAAAATCATTAATGCAATTTAGCGTGCGTCTTCTTAATGAGTTAGCGGGCACTCTTCTAGATATTAACCAGGCTCAATGTTGCTTAACTTCGATGATTGGTCGAGAACAAGTGTTTCAGATGCAAGTAACTGTTAGCATTATTTTTTCTGTAGTAATATCAACATATTTATGCTCAATACAACGAATGCAAGGATAATTAAGATGTTAATTGATTAGATTATATAATCAGCTACGATGAAATTATACAATTTTGCGCAAATTCAACGATATACTCATGATATCAGATCTTTGCAAATGTTCTAAGCATTACCCAACGCTGAGTCGCCTCTTTTTTATTTGCTCGAATCCATTCACTTACGTGCTAATACCCTTAGGAAAGGTATGAATCCTCTTCTTCTCCCTCCAGCTATGGGTAAATAGCAGGACAAGCCGGGTTCTATAGCACTGGATGGGAACTAATCTTCCGCAGAAAGAAATGGCAACCTACTGTGGGAAAAAAAAATCTGCCTGGTCAGTCATGTATCGATACATGATCGCCTACGCGTGTATCACGCATGGCAGTAAAAAAGAAAAAAAAGAAAAAAAAGAAAAGCTTAATAAGTTTTAGCACAAGGCCACAAGTTACGGGACAGTCAGTGATGATTGAACACAATACTCAATGGAAAACAGACAAATTAGCTAAGCATAACCCAACGCTGAGTCGCCTTTTTTTTTTATTTGCTAAGCTTAACTAAATTTACGGGGTCACCAAGTGATGATTGGACACATTACTCGGCAATAATCTCTCGATGTAGACAACTCTTAAATGTGCATTACATTGCACACCCGTGGCGAGAAATCTACATTGAAATATTTCTATTAACTTTTGCGACATCTGTGGGCAACATTTTCCGATATGCCAAATGGGATTTCGAAATTTGGTGAGTGCTTCTGTTATATACAATTCAATTTAAAATAAAATAAAAATCGTCATAATTTCTTTTTATTTACTGAAACAGGACCTCATATAATTGGGGTGCTGAAAAGTTATTGGCCTTATATTGCTTGCTTAGTAAAATTAAAAACAAAATCAAAAAATTCAAATATTTGGTTGCTTTACAGAGGGCTGTTGAGAATAGCATGGATTGAGCATGTGAGTAATAAGGAAGTTTCAAGGGAAATTGCAACAAAAAGAACACTTATGCTGAGAATTTGAAAGAGAGAGACACATAATGAGGAAAGAAGGCTTGGTAAATCTGACAATCAGAGGACGTATTGAAAACAAGAGTGACAGAGAAAAGTAGCGAGGAAATGGATGGTAGAACGGAGAGAGAGAGAGAGAAGGAGAGAGAGAGAAAGAGAGAGAGAGAGAGAGAAGAATAGTAAACAGGCAGACATTGTTAATAGGTACAAAAGGATATTTGACATCTGTGATCACCCACATCTTGAACGGACAATGCACAAAGAAGAATAATGTCTGGCAATTTGTTGAGATTATGGGAAGTGGTTCCAGACCGAAAGCTTTTCAGCACTCCTCATTATATATATATATATATATATATATATATATATATATATATATATATATATAAAGACATTTTTATACTTATACGTTCTTTTTATATAAACATTATTACCAACATATACCGGCCTGAATGTGTGACGTCATTTATTTACATTTGTTTACCCATCGAGCAGATATGAATGATCGAGAGAAAATCATGGAAAATTGTAGTTTAAAAACAGTAAAATCGACCTTGTTAACCGAAACGTCCTTCTGTGGCTAAATCGGTAAAGCACGTCAGGCTATATGATGGTTCCATAGAGGTTCGATTCCTGTCGGAGGACGCATATTTTCTATGTAAATTTCTCGTACATTCACTGTTTATTATAAACAGAGTATTTACTTAATTATTTGTATCTATAATAAGAACGTAATGCCTTAAAATAATTGTCGTACTTTGTCCATTTCATGAGTTAAATATGTATATATAAATACAAACACATTTTAGCTACAACCCTACAGATTTTTATTACTTATATACGAGTGTCCACTAAAAGTAACATTTAATGATAAAACAGCTATATCGATAATAAATATACATTTTTCTTAATCAATGTTTTCAGTTTTCAGTCAGCATTTAACGATTGCATCATGCATGAAACTCACAGCTGTGATACCAGTGAGGATATATATATATATATATATATATATATATATATATATATATATATATATATATATTGTGTGTATTTAGGCAGCATCTTTTCATTCATGGATGAAAAGATGCTGCCTAAATATACACAATTTAAATTACATGATCCAGCAGCCCACAATACTATCAATACTTGGAATTACAAATGTAGCTTTGTGAAAAGGCAAATTGAAATAGCAAAAGAAAAATTGAACAACCTTAACACCAACAAACAGGACATTTACGATAAACTACAGGATATAACTACCTCTGACCAACTGGAGTAAATTCGCTTCTAGCGTCTTATATGCGCGTGTTTATCGTTGCTTAGAAATCATCTATGTAAACAATGACAGGCTATCATCACTGTCTTTTCCGTATATTGTTTAATATGTTGTAATTGACATCTTTGATAATGGCTTAAGTAAGCCGAAAGCTTAGATTATATTAAAAAAAAATGGATCAATATTGTGAATTTCTTTCTTCGTTCAACGATAATGTTATTAAATTTATCAGACGTTACGAAAACTTTTGACATAAAATAAATAGACAACACTTGTCTGTATTATTTAATGAAACGTGCATGAATATATATATATATATATATATATATATATATATATATATATATATATATATAGTACATTGTTCTACGTTATTTCCGCCAGTTGAAGTTTGTAAAACTTACGAGAGTTTTTACATTTTTTAATCCAGTGATTTTATTTATGTGGATAGATATTTGACTTTGATGTTGCTTCTCAATTTCAATTTTTTCATTGTTTAGTAACTAAATAAACGAAAAAAAAATGTCGACTCAAACACGTGAACCAACCCAAAATAACGTTTATAATAAGAAATGATTAAAAAAATCCACTCATCACCAGAGCTGATTCGACTTGAAGACGCAGGACAAATCGGAGTGGACAATATTTAACATTTCGAGCCGAAAAAAAAAAAAAAAAGAAAAAGAGAAAAAAATTGCATCAGAAGGGGGGTGGTTTTCTCTTGACACAGGTATTACTCTATAC